ACTTGCACTGCTTCTTGTAAGGCTTGTCCTCCACTGGTTCGGGTGGTTCCTGCTATAGTAATTTCTATAACATGCAACTCAAATCATAGGTTACAACAATTTAAAGGTATTTCCCTTACAATCTCCACCCCTGGTCCCTTTGGCCCAGGTTATAGGGTTTAACATTGCACTGAACTCCTCCCCTTGCTCCTAGCCTGGCTAGCAACAAGGGGTTCCTGCTACAGTAATTCCTATAACATGCAACTAGCGTAAACACTGCTTAGCAACAACTAAAACATGGGTGTGTTATCAACATTGTTCTCACCCTAAATCCAAAACACAGCCCCGTACCAGCTACTAGGAAGGAAATTAACTCTATCCCTGCCGAAACCAGGACACATGCTTATGCTTACCCAGCAGAGGAGAGGAGGAACATATGGTCTATCACTTAATATTAGAAATCATTCCATCACTTTCAAAAAGAGGCATGATTTTTCCTTCTTTCCAATCTATTAATTATTCTTGCTTTATAGTCTTCTACTATATGAGTTACTAAAGATAAAATTAGACAGGATTTTTACACGCACAATCTGGTTTCATCTGTCATTTTTAACAGCCTGATGATGATTTCAGGCACCTTTCTGGCGTGCTAGAATTTGCTCTAGCTAGCAGCAAAATTGTTTTTTCTTTCTGTAAATAGGATCTCAGCGTTACTCAATGGAACATGTCCTGCAGGGCAGGAAATGTGGAGATCAGGGGAATGTTAAGGCTCCAATACTGTAAATCTCTCTAGATGGCAACATAGGTCTCTCTAGATTTCTAAAGAGGTTGAATAGGTTTTTTATTCAATGTTATTAAAGCAATTGTATTTTTTCAGGGACAAACAAATGAAGGGCCTCATTACTGTGAAACTGTTTTGATTTTTTTCTAAGCAGGTACTGTAAAACAGGTATTTTCCACCTAGGAAAATATTGTAGACTTCCAAACCGGAATGCTACACACCCACACATTTGTCTGCATGAAAGAACCGCAAATATAACTAAGGTTTTTGGAGTTGCAACTACTATGTCCCTGGTAAGCGTGTGTTTAGTTTCTCGCCTGATGAAGAGCCACAGAATGAACAGAATGAAACTTCCCATGCAGGAAGTCACCCAGCCAAATACATTTTGTAAAAAGCGGGTCTCTTAGGACAATGGCCTGTCTCTGGCTTCTGGCAATGCAGATTCCCATTGCCTTCAACAGGAACAGAGCCCTACCACACAGATACTCAATTTTGCAGAATCCGTGCTGGAGCTGTATATATTAGTTTAGTTGATTTGATTATTTAAATTTGGTAGCTAACCAAATAACACTAAATCTTTTTTTTTTTTTTTTCTAAACCAGTATAGTGGAACCTCATAAATTTGCTTTTCACTTATTCATGTCATCTCTAATTTACACTCCCTTTCTCCAAAATGCTTTCTTGGCAGGAAACAGCAATGCATTATAATACGGTCTCACATTAGTCCTAACTACTGTAAAAAGTTATCCAATACAATACTTAGCTGGACACTAACACCTACTATCATCAATAATGCAATCACTCAAATTTTCAAATATGAACTAAAGGAAAACTAGGTAGAATTCTGCCCATCAGTCAAATCAGCTTTGGATCACATCCTTTATAAAATAAGTACTTTTTGGGATGACAGCCTTGGTTTTATTTTTAATGTGCTCATTCTCTTCTGTTTTTCTTAATCCAGTCAACAATGTATGCTATTGAGGTTTCACATGTTAGTATATTATAAAGAATGCTAACTAATAATACTTACAGTTTAAGGTTTTCATCAGTAACTAAGGTATTGGCTATCAACAGGTAAAGTTAGTCATGAAATTATTTAGTGCAGTAAGTAAAGTACTTTGGTAAGCATCATCCAGATAGTATTACCTGTAATCGCTATTTTTAAGCCTGTTTTATAAAGCTATTTTAAGGAACACTGTATCAATTTCACTGTATAAAGATGTTTGCACTGGATAGTCTCTTTTTATATTCCTGTACTGTATTTTTTTTTTAACTACATAAAAGCCAATCTCAAGTTTGGATTTTCTGTGCATTAATGAGTTTCACACAGAAGACAATACCAGGCTTTGTACCACAGTGAACTCAACCATAAAAACACTGGTATCTACGCTCTAAGCGAACTCAGACTAGACACAAATTCACCAAAGGACTTTCTGTAAAAGAAGTTTTCTCCCACTCTTTGGAAAGCTGTCAGTAAAGCTCCTGGGCTAAGGAAGAGAAAAGCCCCAACGGTGCAGTCTGGTTTCAGCAGCTGGTAAGGTTGAACCCTCGGACTTTGGAGGACTCGTGTCTGCCAGTGCTACAGGATGCTTTCAATTTCCAAGCAGATGTTTGGTATTTTAGCAGCCAGGCATCAGGGTGATTTTGAACGACCATGTTTACTGATGTCCTGCCCTTTTTTCCTACTGGAAAAGTACTCCTCTCAAATGGTAAAGGACACACTGTAGAACAGAAAGTACTAACACCCTGGGTCAGTACCTACCACTCACATGCGGGGGAACTACACATACGCCCACTACCTGAGTGGTCTATCAGTGGTACCTCAATGGGAAAAAAGGATGACACCCCCAGCACCACCACCCCAGCCCCTGGCCTGCTATCTTCTTCTTCCTCTCTGATCTGCTGCTACAGACATATGCAAGCAGGATTACTCTGTAGTACACAAAAAGCTACAGCTTTCTCACAGTCCAGGATTTAGATATGACATGACAGAACAGTACACACCTGTGACAGAAAATAAAAAGACCCCTAAATTTGCACCTTTAGATAGCACAGTTTCTTACCATTTCTTTTCACTGCTAATAATGACTACCCCAATATATTCCCAAGATTATTCTAGCGCTTTAAAAAAATCACATCAATTTTCCCCAGATATGGCACTTATAATTTACAAAGCCTGGAAAAAAGCAAAAAAGTTCAATTCCTTCATTGCTAATTGCCATGAGCAAACTCCAGATCAAACACACTTTAGCACAAGTTGCATTAAAAACACAATAGATCTGCTAATTATGTTATAATGAAATGCATTCTTCCATAGAAAGAATTTGATTAAACAGCTACTTGCAACTTGTAGCTGAGATTCTCATAAAGGTATTCATTATTCCTTTAATTAATATGCATTTTAATCTCTTATCCCTAAAAATATATCATATACTATTATTTTATTACATTCAGACGCAGAAGTTCATGCCATTTAATAAAGGTTTTTTACTCCTATCCCATTAGAAATTTTTATGAAATAATGACTTGTGATCAGAATCCTTGATACGTATCAAAGCAGCAATGAAAAGCTGTTTGAATATTAACACCTGGCACACTGTCGCACTTCCCAGATAGGTCAGGTGAGCTAAGGTCCTGTTATCAAATCAAATTTCCACTGTTCATGGAAAGAAAGAACAATTGTATCGGGTATCATCCGATTACAGTCCAGTCCTACTGATACGCTGTCAGGAAGAATATAACAGCAAACCCAGTGAAAACAGAAGGATTAGTTATAAACGGAAAAAAAACCCAAACTTCTCTGAGTTCTTGTTCTTCAATTAGTGGGTTCTTCTTTTTTCTCCTTTCAGCAACAAGGGCTTAGAATAGCACCAGAAGGGACCAGCCAACCTGGCAATCAGACCTGCTCAAGCACAGGTACTGTCATCCAGCAGGACCATCTGTAGTGAGCAAGTCACGTAAAGCCACACTGGTTTTTTGGAGCTTAGAGTTTGGAGTACAGATCCACCTATATACATTTATTTTAAATGTTTTCACTCCTATGCATATGTCACATGCAGGGGAAATGCTCATGGTGATAGTAAACATGCAAATACTATCCTATTTGGCTAGAAATAATAGTTATACTTATGGCCATTATATTTCAGGTGTGGCTAGGACAGAAAAAACAGAATAATCACCATCTTTCCTGACCTATTCTCCCGTCCTATTTTTTTTTTTAATAAATGTTTCAAGTTTGAGGGAGTAAGAAAAACTACCGCGGTTTTATCTTCACATGCTTCCTGGAATAAAAGAAATCACCAAGGTGATATCTTTCCCATTTAAGAAACTATCACAATTTT